TTCTTGGGACACGGGGTCCCCGGAGGATGCACTGCATGATGCACTCAATACCCTTCTCGTCCCTTGAACCCGGTGGGGTAGTACCTGGACAACCCGAGCTTCTTCAGAGGCCCCTCGAGGACTCATTTCGGAGCATCTCCTTCTCAAAATCTCTTGATCAATCTACTGAGTTTAGCAGCTCACGATTCTCTGATATTGCTCGGTTGGCCAATGAGGACAATGATAGTAAATCAGGACCACTGATTCTCAAGAACAAGTCTCCCAGATGGCACGAACAATTACAGTGCTGGTGCCTCAATTTCCGAGGGCGGGTAACAGTTGCATCGGTCAAGAATTTTCAGTTGATTGCAGCCAATCAACCAACCACTAATGTGCAAACGACATCTCAACCATCACAGTCGTCGGACCACGATAAAATCATCCTGCAGTTTGGCAAGGTCGGTAAAGATATGTTCACCATGGACTACCGGTATCCATTATCTGCTTTTCAGGCATTCGCAATCTGCTTGAGCAGCTTTGACACTAAATTGGCTTGTGAATAGGATTGAAATCTCGAGACAATGCTGTTAACAGAATCTATCATTGTAATTTGTCCTCCTTTATTTCATTAGAAATGGAGATTGTTAATTTCTTTAGGTGGTTGTTGTCTTGTTGAACTCATTTATAAATTCAACCATGTTTAGATGACAGGGCTCTCTCCTTGCTAAAACAAGACCTATTGGATCACATTTACTTGAATATCATTCTCTTTTTATGGTATTTTCTTGACATGAATTTGCAGGTTTTTCATTGCCACTCGACTAATCATTTTTGAAAGTCAGAAATTGTTATTGAGAGCATGTTTGATAAATATTTATAAATAATCCTAGAGGTTATTCTGGCTAATTAATGGATCATTTTTTTGGTTTAAAAATGTACTTTTTTGTTTATTGAACAATGATAAGAAATAGAAATGATAACACAAACTGTAAGTGCATTTGACCAATTATTTAATTGCGACACAAAAATTCCATAATTCGAGAATGAAAATTAAGTTGTCACTAACTAATTTGAAAGTTCGTTAATTAAGTTGTGACCTATAAAAATGTGATTTATGACTAGGGGTGTCATGAGTTGAGACAAGCAAAAGCTTGGCCAAAAAATTTAGACTCGATCCGAGCTTTCAGCTCGGGCCTTAGC